CCTGCTGGCACAACTGGAAACTTTCTAAAGTCAAGATTGCATCTACAGTGAGAGGACAGTCACGTTTTATGAGGCAGGTGATCAGAATTTCTTGGAAAATTTCTACAGATACCTCTTGTAACGGAGGCAATATTTGGTTACAGTGAACACGTGGATGAGATGGAATCCTTGCCATAGTTGACATTATTAGTAACATTTATAACCAGTGTATGTTTTGATTTCTTACTCTTTTTCAATCCTTGCTTTTTCTTTTCAGTTACTTGTATGTAAATATTTTTATATGAACCTGTAAGTGCTTTACAGGTGCAGATGATAAAAGCGAATACTTTGCTAGAGGTATAAATTATCTTCACTCTTCCTCAGCTGACAGCTTAAAAAGCCTTGGGGTTGGTTTTTGTTTTCTTTTCTTTTTTTTCAATGTTTGCTGTTTTTATCCAATTTGGAAAGGATCTGCAGAAAGCAGCGAGAGGCTTAGTCCTGAAAAATGTCTGAGGCACACGAAATAAGGTATCGATTTCTCCTGAGAGAATTCAGCACATCCAGTTATTCCATGCCATGATGCAGCAGAACGAGTGCCAGCGAAGAAGAATTTCCCAAGAATGATTTCACAAGAGTTCATTCTTAATTGCTGGGCACCATCAACATCTCTAATTGCAAATTAAATCATGTGCTGGTTGTATATCCAGCGAAGCAAGTGCTGCTGCTTCATCTGGTGATTCTACTGAGCTTCAGAATGCTTGAACCAAATAGAAAGAAGAAGGAGAAAATACAAAATGGGAGATATATACCAAAGGGTTGATGAGGTTCTAATATATGGTTTCTATGCTGAAAGTAGTGCAAAAATTTCCGGACTAATTTTGTAAGGTAGGTGATATTTTGCAAAGTAAGGGTATCTTTGTAAGAAAATAATTCTATTGAAAACAGGTAGATGGTTGGTATATTTTGTAGCTAAATTGTGATCTTTGCAAATTCTGAAATTGAGTTTATATACGTATTTTGACAGTTTATATATTTCATTTTAGTAAACAAATGAAATATTTTGTGAACCAGATTTTCAAGCCTATATTTTTATGGATAGTATCGAAGTCAAATGAGATCCTCTTTGGTGTAGGAGATATTTGAATTAATTTTGTATGTCTGTAGGCAAAAATTGATCCTAAAGAGTACTGGGAAAAAAAGAAAAATATAATAATCAGGGCTTTTTATTCCCCATGGTTGGTAATTTCTGCACATCAGATCTGATTGTTATCAGAGATTCTACTTTGTATGATTTTAATCTGCGTCAGGTGAAAATTAAACGTGTGATACCATCAGGACTCTTTTGAGTGTAGAACCTCCATTTTTGGGGATACTCAGAAGCCATCTGGACGTGGTCCTGGGCAGCCTGCTCTAGGTGTCCCTGCTTGAGCAGGGGGCTGGACAAGGAGACCCCCCCAAGGTCCCATCCAACCTCCACCCTTCTGTGATTCTGTGAAATGGAACAATGCGTCTGCAGCACTTCTTGCACGTGTGCTAAACACACAATTTTCCATAGCTGGGATTGAATCCTGCTTCAGTTCTGTCCACGGGGGTGGCACTCAGGGTGCTGGCTCCCCGGGCACGGGGTGCTCCCTGTGCAGCTGGGCCCTGGGCTGGGTTTCACCCATGTCTCAATTCACGGACTCCTCGGCAAGCAGAGCTCGTCGCAGGGACTGCATTCCACAACTGCCTCGGGAGAGGGCTGGCAGAGATGGTTTTTCTCCTGAGGTTTTAAGCAGGTGATTGTTGTGGACACGCTCCACGACTGCAGCACACCTTCCTGTTCACCACCGTGTCACAAGGGAGCCTTCGTTGCACACCAAAGCCCGTGAGCGAGGTGGAGAGGGTCGCCCCAGAGGGACCCACGGCCGGTGCCTCCCGTTTCCTTCAGTGGGATTTCAGGCAGAACGAGCCTACAGTACTGAAACTAATCTGGTAACTCCTCTGTGTGGTGTTTTGATCCTCACCGTGTGCTGTTGTTCCTTTACCTTCTTTTGTAATACAGGATAATAATTAAAAAAAAAAGCTGTCAAGTGTTAAAGACTGTAAAAATAAAATAAAATAAAATATGGTGGCCAATTCTTTCTGTATTCAGCAAGTGAAACCGATGTAGTGCTGCCAGGCATAACGTTAGTCCATTTTTATCCTCTTAAAATAGTGTTTGGGAAAGAGCAGCTTATTTTTCATCATGGAAATATTAAACAGTAACATGAGTTTGCTCTTTTAAGTAATCACTTATCATGAAGTACTTATTTGGGGTTTACTTCAAAATCTAGGTTGTAAGAGAGTAAAATCTCTATCCTGAGAGTGAGAGGTGTAGTACCTGCTACTGTTCTGCTGGTTATTTCCAAACAAAAGTACGTGCTTTATATGAACTGTAAATATTTGTTGAAACAATTAGATGGTTGCAAATTTTGACCTTGGTAAATAAAGTCGCCAAAATATAATTCTGATGCTCCTTATTTATTCTACTGTTGGGTTTTTTATGTTAATTAAACAGAGCCCTGCAGCACTTCTGACCAAATGTCTGTACCCTGTGCAGTATCAGGTCTTTGAGGGGGGCCAAGAATAAATATTGACTCTGTGAAACAGCACCCAGAGCTCTGGTGCTCTGTGGGTGGCGACCCAGCAGAGGGAGCGTCGCTGCTGGTACCTGGGGCCCGAGCTGCTGAAGCATAAAAATAGGGTGGGGAAAAAGAACTGTCAGTTGGTAACGTTTCTGTACTCAATTTCAGATTTATTCTGGAGGAGGAACTGCTCGTTTCAGGGTTTTCACAGGCAGACCAGAGCCCTACAGCGATGACGTGGCGGTTTGTCCCTCAGAAGGTCTCCACGAGCACTGCCAGAGCCAGCAGGAGGGGGAGCGTGGTGCTCAGGGGCTTTGCAGCCTTGCTGCCCCGCAGCAGTTCGGATTTTATCCAGCTCCTGTACTGGGATACACGGACGTAGATGCCAGGAAATTTTTGTCGGCCACAGCCCACTCCGAAGCTGGCAATGCCCACCAGGTAGTACTTGTTGGTGCTGAGGTGGTGGCAGGCTAAAGGGCCCCCGCTGTCTCCCTAGGAAAAACCATCAGAAACCCATAACATCTATTCCCTTCCACGAAACAATGTAGAATTAAGGCACTAATACATCTACTTTTTAACAAGACCTCCCTTAATCAGCTCACTGGACGCTAACAGTGACAGTAATACCTGGGGAGTGGTACAGAGACCAACTCAGGTCAGATTTGGTGGTGCTGGGTGATCCAACCTTGACTAGGTTGTCAAGTTCCAGGATCTTTCTCTGCATTAGTTTCAGGGTCTTTATCTAAAGTTCTACTGTTGTTTTTCTTTCTGCACTTTTTCATTCCAAGGCCTCTCCACCTAAACTTTCCCACTCATCAGTGACTGAGAACACCTTGTCCACACAGGGTGTAAGTACCCAGAAATGTAACCAAGCTACAGAGTTTAATTATAAATGTCTTGTGTCAGCTGCACGTGAGAGCTTTGAACCAGAGAACTGACTGTTCTGAGAAGGATGCTGATTGCTCAGCGTTTAACCCAAACTCTGGCCACACCACGGAACCCAGTGGCCTCCCAGAGCAGCTGCTCTCCTTCAGAGGCCTGAGAGCAGGCGAGGGATGCTCGTGTGCTTCTGGCTCCCTGCAGACAGCGATGCCTGTGGGTGTTCCCATACGTGTGGCTGAGCAATATAATTAACATAATCATATTTAATAATATTGGTATCTTTGTGGCAGGTGTTGTATAAGGATGTCTGTGTTCCTCATCCTTTCACTTTAACTTACTCCGAGCATCACTGAATTCTGTGTGTATTTGTGAGATGTGTTTTTAATTTGGAATCACCACTTCTCTTCCTGTTTATGACCCTTCCTTCACAGTTTCAGGAGTTTTCTGTTTCGTGTTTGTGCCGCTTCAGCTCCATGCTACAGACTCTGGTCCCCATCGTGCCCCTGAGGCCCTGGCTTGGGGGTTTCCACGGTGGCAGGGTGTTGGTTCTCACCTGACAGGCATCGGTGCCTCCTGCTGGGGAGCCAGCACAGATCATGTCATCATTAACCGTGCCTCTGTACGCCTCAGACCCGTTACAGACACTGGAGGGAATGATTTCCACTTGTGCTTCCTTTAACACAGCTGAATTTTTACCTTCAACAGAAGAGAGCACAGAGAAAGGTAAAACATGGATGCTGCTGCACGTAGCAGTTCTTGCTGTGCTCTTTTTGTCCCTTAGAGCTGGGCTTCAGCACGTTTCTGTGCGTGAGAGATTGTGCTGCCTCGTCACAGATTTACACTTAAGTGGGTTCAGGACCTGCAGGCTTGGATTTGATGTCATTTTTTCCAATTATTCTGAAGGAACACCAGTGGTAACAACACTGCTCACTAGCCCTGCTCAGCGTGTCAGAGGGGACTGGTCAAACCAGCTTATAGGATGCTCAGCTGCCCTTGAAACTCCCACCCCTGGAGGTCCCACACAGCACCTGCTGACATCAGATCAGGATTGTGCTCTGGGGGAGTGCAGCCGTTCATTAAATACATGGGGAGCCCCAAATTCACAGAGCACCACGCCAGAGATGTTGGGTTTCAAGATTCTTAGCCGACAACTCTGAGTAGCTGTGAGCTATGAGAGTCAGGCCAGTTTATTTCCTTTTTTTCTGTGTTATACTTGAAAGGCAAGAAAATGGGTGTCTTGGGTAAAATCTGGGTGCAATGGAAGGCCACCGGAATAGTGCCTTGTGTCAGCACTGGTGTGGCAGGGCAGGATCGTCCCCCGGGGGTGGGCACTGACCCCAAATCCTGGGGTCAGTTTTGGGCCCCTCACTCCAAGAAGGACCTTGAGGGGCTGGAGTGTGGCCAGAGAAGGGCAATGGA